AGGCAAGAGACAAACAATTGAAGCAAATCTAGCTCTCCGGCGAGCTAGGACACGAGTAGAGGCTATCAATATGATCTCATAACAAGTTGGTGCAGCCAAAAAATAGAAAAAAGATAGAAAATTACAATAAAACAATGGTGAGTAGAAAAACTTATTAGATACCGGAATTAATGGTATCTAATAAGTTCTACCAATACCTTACCTACTATTGGATTTGAACCAATGACTCCTGCCGTATGAAAGCAATACTCTAACCACTGAGTTAAGTAGGTCATTTATCATCCTAAATAAAAAAAGTAGCTGTCTATCAGATCAATGGATTATAAATGTTATATTACTTATAAACAATACAAACGCAATATAAATCAAAGAGATTGGATCATGTCATATTTATCTTGACAAGAATTTATTTATCGAATATGATCAAATATGTATCCAAAGCACAAGGGCTATAGCTCAGTTAGGTAGAGCACCTCGTTTACACATGCGCCAATGTTTTTTCATAGGAGTCCATCATGTAATTAAAAGAGTTGATCTTAATTGATAAATCGATGTCTTACTCCCGGAACAAAATAAGAGAACAATAGCCTGACAAAGGATTTAGACGTCAAATGGAATCCATAATGGATTTGAGATATTGATACGGTGAATACTTAATCTATTCAATGCTAGGCAATGAGTCTAGGGACCTCAAAAAAAATCTCTTTTCTTCCTATCTTATGAACTTTAAGGTGTATGAAGTTTCATTTCCTATTTGATATTTTTATTGAAGTAGGTTGATAGAGAGTCCATTTAACTTAAGTTGATCCAGGCCAGAAGCAGACCTACGTCAGGATAACCTTCTTCTTTGAAAAACTTTGGTAGTGCTCTTAGATTTTGATCTAAATAAGAAATCAGAGCACAGGGAGTCATTTCCTTTTTCTTTGTGTAAAGAAAAAAGATGGTAGACTAATTGATATTTCTATCAGTTAATGAAAAAGCCCAATGCAAAAAAAATGCACGTTGGGTCTTTCAAACAATTCAAATCATTTTGATAATAATAAATAATAGTTTGATGTGTTTTACCGAGAAGGTCTACGGTTCGAGTCCGTATAGCCCTAATATTACTACCGATACTACTCAGATTTAGATTTCTTATCTAATATCTGTCATTACAAATATATATGTACTAATACTATATGTACTAGATTAGTACTATATTGAATACTCCATACTAGTAATACTACTAGTATAAATATACTTTCAATACTTTTTGTAATAGAAAGAATGAATAAAGTAATTTCTATTCGAATAGATTAATAGTGGATAGAATAATATGAGTATTAGTATACTCAGATAATAATCTCAATTTTATTAGAAAAAATGTAAACTTAAGAAAATACAAAGCATTTCTATTTAGATTCTATTAATGAATCTAAGAATTTGAAAATTTCAATTCAAATCGACTCAGAATTAATATGAATCCAGTATATTTTCCCCATTCCTAGGAGGACATTTATGTTTTTGCTTTATGAATATGATATTTTTTGGACATTTCTAATAATATCGATCTTTATTCCTATTTTGGCATTTCTAATTTCTGGAATTTTAGCTCCAATTAGGAAAGGGCCAGAAAAACTTTCTAGTTATGAATCCGGAATAGAACCGATGGGCGATGCTTGGTTACAATTTCAAATCCGTTATTATATGTTTGCTCTAGTTTTTGTTGTTTTTGATGTTGAAACAGTCTTTCTTTACCCGTGGGCAATGAGTTTTGATGTATTGGGGGTATCCGTATTTATAGAAGCTTTCATCTTCGTGCTTATCCTAATTGTTGGTTTAGTTTATGCATGGCGAAAGGGAGCATTAGAATGGTCTTAATTCTTGAATATTTAGACAATTAAACAAAACATTGAGACAGTTATGAATTCCATTGAGTTTCCCTTACTTGATCAAAAAACCAAAAATTCAGTTATTTCTACTACATTAAATGATCTTTCAAATTGGTCAAGACTATCTAGTTTATGGCCGCTTCTCTATGGTACTAGTTGTTGCTTCATTGAATTTGCTTCATTAATAGGATCGCGATTTGACTTTGATCGTTATGGACTGGTACCACGCTCTAGTCCTAGGCAGGCAGACCTCATTTTAACAGCGGGCACCGTAACTATGAAAATGGCTCCTTCTTTAGTTCGATTATATGAGCAAATGCCCGAACCAAAATATGTTATTGCTATGGGAGCCTGTACAATTACAGGAGGTATGTTCAGTACCGATTCTTATAGTACTGTTCGGGGCGTGGATAAGCTAATTCCTGTGGATGTATATTTGCCGGGCTGTCCACCTAAACCGGAAGCCGTTATAGATGCTATAACAAAACTTCGTAAGAAAATATCTCGAGAAATCTATGAAGATCAATTTAGTTATCAACGAGAGAATAGGTGTTTTACTACCAACCACAAATTTTATGTTGGACGCGGTACTCATACCGGCAATTATAATCAAGGATTATTCTATCAACCATCATCTATTTCAGAGATAACCTCTGACACATTTTTGAAATATAAAAAAGTTCAGTATCCTCCGACGAACGAAAAAGTGAATTAAACAGGATCCTTTTGTACAAAATACAATAAGAAATAGCAAGCAAGTCAATCTTCAAAAATTTCATTGTAATGTAAATAAATGGTAAATACTTATACCAATCTTATAAAAAACTCGGGAGAAGTAAAAAAATGCAAGGTAATTTGTCTGCTTGGCTAGTCAAACACGGAATAGTTCATAGATCTTTAGGTTTTGATTATCAAGGAATAGAGACTTTACAAATAAAGCCCGAGGATTGGCATTCGATTGCTGTTATTTTATATGTATATGGTTACAATTATCTACGTTCCCAATGTGCCTATGATGTAGCACCAGGAGGACTATTAGCGAGTGTCTATCATCTTACGAGAATAGAGTATAGTCTAGATCAACCCGAAGAGGTATGCATAAAAGTATTTACCCCAAGGCAAAATCCGAGAATTCCTTCTATTTTCTGGGTTTGGAAAAGTGCAGATTTTCAAGAAAGGGAATCTTATGATATGTTAGGAATCTATTATGATAATCATCCGCGTCTGAAACGTATTTTAATGCCCGAAAGTTGGATAGGATGGCCTTTGCGTAAAGATTATATCGCCCCCAATTTTTATGAAATACAAGATGCTCACTAAATGATAAAAATCAGAAAGTAATCTGAACTTCGACAACCCCAGATATTAAAGAAATATCTGTATGTACATTTTCTTTTTCTTATAGATTAGACAGAATAATAGAGGTTTCATTCCTAATCTTATTCTAGATTAGGATGGTATAAATAAGAAAATTGAGAAATAAAAAAGACAATAATATAGGGATTAATTGAGATTCCAAAATTGGATGGAGCTATACTTATTTAGGACGAGCCAATAGGATGAACTGAAAAAGTTCTGCATCATTAACTATGTAAGATGCACATCAGCATCAATTCATACCTTTTTTATTTTCATTATAGATATTTTTATTTTCATTATATATATGATATTTACAACTTTAGAGCATATATTAACTCATATATCGTTTTCCGTGATATCAATTGTTATTTCAATTCATTTGATAACCTTATTAGGCAATGAAATCGTAGGATTATATGATTTGTCCAAAAAAGCCATGATAATAAGTTTTTTCTGTGTAACGGGATTGTTAATTACTCGTTGGTTTTTTTCGGGACATTTACCATTTAGTGATTTATATGAATCCCTAATCTTTCTTTCATGGGGTTTTTCAATTTTTCATATGGTTCCTTTTTTTAAAAAGGAGAAAAACCTTTTAAGTACAATAATTGCACCAAGTGTTATTTTTACCCAAGGCTTTGCGACTTCGGGTCTTTTAACCAAAATGCATCAATCCGTAATATTAGTACCCGCTCTACAATCCCATTGGCTAATGATGCACGTAAGTATGATGATACTGGGCTATGCAGCTCTTTTATGTGGATCATTATTATCAGTGGCTATTTTAGTCATTACGTTTCAAGAAGTCATCCAAATTCTTGCTTTTACCAAGAATTTGGATTCTTTAAAAAAATCAGTTGATTTTGTTGAAATCAAATACATGAATAGGAATGAAAGAAACAATGTTTTACGAAAAACTTCTTTTTCTTCTTCTATAAATTATTACAGGTCTCAATTTATTCAACAATTGGATCGTTGGGGTTATCGTATTATTAGTCTGGGTTTTCTCTTTTTAACGATAGGTATTCTTTCAGGAGCAGTATGGGCTAACGAGGCATGGGGTTCCTATTGGAATTGGGATCCAAAGGAAACTTGGGCCTTTATTACTTGGACCATATTCGCGATTTATTTACATACTAGAAAAAATAAAAAATTAGAAGGTGTAAATTCTTCAATAGTGGCCTCTATAGGATTTCTTATAATTTGGATATGTTATTTGGGGATCAATCTATTAGGAATAGGACTACATAGTTATGGTTCATTTACATCTAATTGACTAAAAATGAGTAAAGAACCTGAGAAAGAAAAATATGGAAAGCATATAAATATATACGTTCCATAAATCGTTGAGAACCCTTTCAATCAAGTAATGTAATGATTCAAGGGGTTCTCACAAACAACAAACATATTCGATTATCATTTCAAATTTTGAAGTGAATCTAACGGAAAAATCTTTTTTTTATCTTTTTGATTCATTTATTCACAAAAATCATCCATCAAAAATTAGATAGAATAGCTTCAACCTTGTCAACCGAAAATGAGAAAATGAAATCTGGATAAATACCAATACCTATTATGGGTATAAGAATTGAAATCGAAATAAATAATTCTCTGGGCCCTGAATCAAAAAAAGAAGAGTTTGGTGTATTAAAAAATTTGTATCCATAGAACATCTGCCGTAAGATAGATAATAAATAAATAGGAGTTAATATAATTCCAATTGCTGTTACAAAAGTAATTAGTATTTTCATCATGAAAAGATATTTTTGACTAGTAATTATTCCAAAAAAAACTATCAATTCTGCAACAAAACCGCTCATGCCAGGCAATGCAAGAGAAGCCATTGATAAGATAGTGAAAATAGTGAATATTTTTGGCATTGGGATAGCCATTCCGCCCATTTCGTCAAGATAAAGAAGACGCAGTCTATCATAACTAGTTCCTGCCAAGAAAAAAAGGGCAGCGCCAATAAATCCATGAGATATTATTTGTAAAATGGCCCCGTTGAGACCAGTATCACTTATAGAATTTATTCCTATAATTATAAAACCCATATGAGATACCGAAGAATAAGCTATTCTTTTTTTTAAATTACGTTGACCAAAAGATGTTGAAGCGGCATAGATTATTTGAATAGAACCTAATATCATTAACCAGGGGCAAAATATGGAATGAGCGTGGGAAAAAAATTCCATATTAATTCGAACCAACCCATACGCTCCCATTTTTAATAAGATTCCGGCTAAAAGCATACAAGTGCTGTAATGTGCCTCTCCGTGGGTATCTGGTAACCATGTATGTAAGGGTATAATCGGCGATTTGACAGCAAAAGCAATAAGAAATGCCGTATATAATATTATTTCTAGTGCCACGGGATACGATTGATTAATTAATGTTTCAAAATTTAATGTTGGTTCATTAGAGCCATATAAACCGATACCCAGAATTCCCATTAATAAAAAAATAGAAGCTCCTCCAGTGTACAAAATAAACTTTGTAGCTGAATACAAACGTTTCTTTCCCCCCCACATGGATAAAAGTAGATAAACGGGAATTAATTCCAATTCCCACATGATGAAAAAAAGTAAAATGTCTCGAGAAGAAAATGGTCCGATTTGACCGCTATACATTGCTAACATCAGGAAATAGAATAATTGGTATTCTCGAGTAACCGGCTGAGCCGCTAAAGTGGCTAAAGTAGTTATAAATCCCGTCAGTAAAATAGGTCCTATAGAGAGTCCATCTATTCCTAATCTCCAGTAAAAATCAAAAAAATTGATCCATTTAGAATTCTCCGTCAGTTGAATTAGTGGATCATCCAATTGGAAATGATAACAAAATGCATAGGTTGTTAGAAGGAGATCGATTAAGCATATACAAATGCTATACCACCTAATTACCTTATTTCCCCTATGAGGAAATAAGAAAATGAAGGAACCTGCGGCTATTGGGAAAACAACAACTATTGTTAACCAAGGAAAATCATTCGTGATAAAAATAAGATACACTTGGGCCAGAAAAGCCCGTGCTCAAAATCAAATAGAAAATTTTTTTCTATTTGATTTTGAGCACGAGTTTTTGCCAGTAAAAAACGTATTCGTGTGGTGTTTTTTGAAACGTATCAATAAGCTAGACCCATACTTCGAGTTGTTTCATGCCATAAATAAACTCGAATACTTAAGAAATCTGTCGGACAAGCGGACTCACACCTCTTACAACCAACACAGTCCTCTGTTCTTGGGGCAGAAGCTATTTGCTTAGCTTTACATCCATCCCAAGGTATCATTTCTAATACATCTGTGGGACAGGCTCGGACACATTGAGTACATCCTATACATGTATCATAAATCTTTACTGAATGTGACATTATATCTATAGTAATTTTTGATGTTCAAAAATGAAAATTATCGATCTAGTAAACTCGTAAATGAATCGTATATTTATATACCAGATGAATCAATGATTTGTGATAATATTGTTAACTGTTAATAAAAAAGGCGTCTAGATAAATTTAGAAGAGGAAATAGAAGAGGACCAGGATACTTTGATTTCTTATGATTTAGGGAATGCAAACATGATATGATCATAAGTTGTGTCGAATAAATACTAAAATGAATTGATTAATATTACACTATTTGAAATTCTACTTTGTTTCTTTTTTATTAATTATGATATGATTCATGCTATTTATTCAACAAATTCGATTGATTGATACGGGTTGATTTTCTGTTACGAGCAATTGAGGAAACAATAGCCAGTCCGATAGCCGCTTCAGCGGCTGCAATAGCTATAACAAAAATTGAAAAAATATTTCCTTTTAATTGGCGATTATCAAAAAAATCAGAAAAAGTGACTAGATTTATATTCACTGCATTCAATATAAGTTCAAGACACATAAGGGCTCTAACCATATTTCGGCTCGTGATCAATCCATAGATACCAATAGAAAATAAATAGGCACTCAAAACAAGTACATGTTCGAGCATCATTGACCAACTCCTTATCAATTTTGATTCATTTCAATATGAACAACAATTCAACAGATTCAATTGACTAAAGAATATAACAAGTCTGCAACAAAAGAATATATTGGCAATAAAAAAAAAGAATTTCTACCTAAAAACTCTTTCACTTCACATTGAAAAAAAAAAAATACATATATATATATAGTCTTGATTTATATTAGTAGTTCTCTAAAGATTTCTTACTGGCGAGCTACGACAATTGCACCTATCAAAGAAACTAAAAGAATTATTGAAATTAGTTCAAATGGAAGAAAAAAATCTGTTGATAAATGAATTCCAATTTGTTGACTAGTACTTATCAAATCTTGTTCAATAATCTGATTTGGTCTTGTAGTCCAAATAATTCCGTACCATGATGTATCTGAAATAATAGTTATTAGTGAAACAAAAATACTTGTACAAACTATCAAAGTAATTCCATCCCCTATGGTCCAAAGATGAAAATCTTGGTAATATTCGGAACTATTCATGAACATCACAGCAAATATGATTAAAATGTTAATAGCTCCCACGTAAATAAGTAGCTGTGATGCAGCTACAAAATGCGAGTTTGCTAAAATATATAAGAAAGAGATACAAACAAGAACCAGTCCCAACGAAAAAGCAGAAAAAATGGGGTTGGTAAGTAATACTACTCCTAAACTTCCTAATATAAGACCCGATCCCAGAAAGACTAAAAGAAAATCGTGCAGCGTTTCAGGCAAATCCATTATATGTAAAAAAAAAAAAGACAAAGAAATCGAAATTTCATGACCTTATTGATATGACCAGGAAAAAATTGTTATATACTTAAATTTTTCTTTGCATTGAAAAAACCTAAGTAGTTTAAATTGATATAGTTACGGTTATATAATCAATGTCATTCCACTTAAACTACTCTTTATACGAAAGAGTAGTTTGAAACGATATTAAAACTAAAGTATAAAGGTAGATAGAACATATATAACCATTTGAACTAGTCTTTAAATTAAAGAATATTTCAAATTTCGATAATATATTTCTCTATTCTATTTAAGAATATATTTCTCTAATAATTAGAGAATATTTCTAATCCAATATCGATTATATGATTCATTTTTTATACAATTTTTGAAAATATTTTATTTCGATTATTCTATATATTCTATATATATTCTATATATATATAGAAATCTATATATATATAGAATATTCTTTTTTTTTTTAGAATTGTATTTTATTAAATTATAAAAAATTGTCTTTTTTTATTTGATTTGAATTGTTCGAATTGTATAATCATCAATTATTGACATTGGTAAACGGCCCAAAGCAATTTGATTATAATTCAATTCATGACGATCATAAGTTGAAAGTTCATATTCTTCAGTCATTGATAAACAATTTGTTGGACAATACTCAATACAGTTACCACAAAAAATACAGATTCCGAAATCAATACTGTAATTTAGCAATCGTTTCTTTCTAATATCCGTTTCCATTTTCCAATCAACAACGGGTAAATCTATAGGACATACACGAACACATACTTCACAAGCAATGCATTTATCAAATTCAAAATGGATTCGACCGCGGAAACGTTCTGATGTGATTAATTTTTCATAAGGATATTGAATAGTTACAGGTAAACGATTTGCGTGAGATAAGATAATCATGAAACTTTGACCAATGTACCTTGCAGCTCGGACTGTTTGTTGACCATAATTCATGAACCCAGTTACCATAAGGAACATATCGTAAATATCTATGAATAGTTTTGTTTTATTTCTTTCTCTTATTTGAGACAAGTAATGAATATAGAAGATCCATCTTTTACAGCGAAAACAATTGAGACGAAGTTGTTAATAATAGATTACCGAGAGAAATAGGTAAAAGAAATTTCCATCCAAGATTTAATAATTGATCCATTCTTAGCCTAGGCAAAGACCATCTTGTTATGATAGAAACAAATAAGAAAAAATAGCTTTTAGCTAATGTAATAAAGAGATCAATTGTAGTTCCAAAAACTCCGTATGTTTTATTTATTTCAAAAAATTCAGAAACAAATATGTACGGAATAGAGATATTTGAACCGCCCAAGTAAAGAACTGTTACAAATAATGAAGAAATTAAAAGGTTTAAATAGGAAGCAACGTAAAATAAACCAAATCTAATACCTGAGTATTCTGTTTGATAACCAGCTACTAATTCTTCTTCTGCTTCTGGTAAATCAAAAGGTAATCTTTCACATTCTGCTAGCGAAGAAATTAGAAAAACGATGAAACCCATAGGTTGACGCCACAAATTCCAACCCCAAAAACCATATTTTGCTTGCGCATCAACTATATCAACTGTACTTAAACTGTTAGATAATCCTAGTCGGTGATAACATTACTGTTCCCATCTCTATTACAGAACCGTACATGAAATTTTCACCTCATACGGCTCCTGGAAAGCCTTAAGTAAATCTAAGGACCGGGTCAATTATTTCTCTCTTGCTATATCCCTAAGATATAGAAGATGAAAATAGATCGAACGGTTCTGAATTAGACCAATTCAATTCTGTCTGTTCTAGAAATAACGAAATAAGAAAGAGAAATATAGTTTAATAAAAGATCCAATGTAAGGCACTTCTGAATTGATCTCATCCCTCAAAAATAAAAATTTGTTGAGTAATAACTGAATTCTTCAATAAAATACTCTTTTATAATTCTCAATAGCCCTCATGATTTTGAATTACGAAAAAGAATTAAACATTCGTTTCTTAATTATGATTTGATCTCCATGAATATGGATATGGATATAAGAAATCAAAAACGAAAAATAGATTTCTCTTTCGTTTTTGATTTCTTATGTTTTTTTTTTCGTTCCTATTCTTCTTTTTTGTGCTATGAAAAAGGGACTTAAAAAATTTTAAAGGATTTTTTCGTTCCTGATAGTCATTTATTTAATGAGTGGATGGAAGCATACTCTGGATCGGAGTTGTGGGGAGTACTGCTTTATTTTTTCTACCAACTTAAAGCCCCAATTAGTATTCTTTTTATATTCTGCGTAAATTGTCTTTTGGATAATTTACAAAATCTGTGTTACTAATCCTTTGTGTATCTTGGTGTTTCTAACCATCCACTCTTTTTTATTAATCCCCCTTATTTATTTTAATATATCTATGAGAATTCATAAAAATGGTAACTAAAACTCAATAAGGTTGGTCTTTAGAGCCCGCTTCAAAACAGGATGACAAATTATCCAATCTTGGGTTAAATGGCCTCTTCTGTTTATAATTTTATTTCATTCTTATACATAGAAAATGAGACTCAATATTTTTACTGCCATTAAAAATCATCATACTATCTATTAACTAGAAGTAAGAAAGTATTCTGAAATTCTATTCAATATAAGCTGTTTTATTTCACTCATATAACTATCTAATTTAGTTCTTCAATCGGAGAAAAATAAAGATAATGAAGGTTTCTATTCAATTGATTCGCCTCCTTTCCTATATAGTACTATAAAGAGAGGAGCATAGCAATAGCATCGAATAACTTTTTTGGTTTCAACGAATCGCACGTAGAGATATTGATAAGACACATAGAGTTAATGGTATTTCATAACTAATCGATTGAGCAGCAGCTCGTAGACCACCCAAAAAGGAATATTTATTATTTGAGCCATATCCTGACATAAGAAGTCCAATGGGAGCAATACTCGAAATAGCAATCCATAAAAAAACACCTATCTTGAAATCAGATAAAACAAAGTTATAGCCAAAGGGAATTACTGAATAACTTATTAGAATTGATATTATTGATATGGATGGTCCAATACTGAATAAACGAATATCTCCCCTAGATGGAATAAGATTCTCTTTGAATAGAAGTTTTGTTCCGTCTGCTAGAGCTTGAAGAATTCCAAAAGGACCAGCGTATTCAGGTCCAATACGCTGTTGTACCCCTGCTGATATTTCTCTTTCTAACCATACAATTGCTAGTACACTTATTGTGATTCCCAAGATAAGAATCAAAATTGGTACAAGTATCCATAGAATTCCATAGACCTCTTTGAAAGATTCCAATCCGGAAAAGGAGTTTATATCTTGGACTTCCGTTGTATCAATTCTCATTTCAACGATCAACTTCTCCCATAATGATATCTATGCTACCTAGTATTGTCATAATATCAGCCAATTTCATTCTTTTAACTAATTGAGGAAGAATTTGCAAATTGATAAAACCAGGTGGACGAATTTTCCATCTCCAAGGAAAACCATTCTGATCTCCTATTAGAAAAATTCCTAATTCTCCCTTGGGGGCCTCAACTCTCACATAAAGTTCTTGTTTCGGCAATTCAAAAGTAGGAGACGATTTTTTACCAATGAATCGATATTCAAAATCATTCCATTCTGGCTCCTTTTCTCTATCAAAGCAGCGGATTTCAAAATTTTCATAAGGCCCCCCTGGAATTCCTTCCAAAGCCTGTTGAATTATTTTTATGGATTCCACCATTTCACCAATTCGAACTAAATAACGAGCTAATGAATCTCCTTCTTTTTGCCATTGAACTTCCCAATCCAATTCCTCGTAACACTCATAATTATCAACTTCACGTAGATCCCATTGTATTCCGGAAGCCCGAAGCATCGGTCCTGATAACCCCCAATTTATAACTTCCTCTCTACCAACAAAACCTACTCCTTCAACCCGTTCTAAAAAAATTGGATTTCGCGTAATAAGTTTTTGATATTCAATAACCCTTGTTAAAAAATAATTGCAGAAATCAAAACATTTATCTATCCAACCATAAGGTAGATCAGCGGCTACCCCCCCAATACGAAAAAAATTATGCATCATTCTCATACCTGTCGCAGCTTCGAATAGATCATATATTAATTCTCTTTCTCTAAAAATATAGAAAAAAGGGGTTTGTGCACCAATATCTGCCATAAAAGGTCCCAACCATAGTAGATGAGAAGCTATACGACTTAACTCCAACATAATTACTCGTATATAGCTGGCTCTTTTAGGTACTTGAA